GAAGCTTCCGGTCTGCTCTCCGGAAGCCCGAAGCCCGGAAGGCGCTGGGCTTCATCTGGCAGGTCACCTTGCCCGCCTTTGGGCGGTGGCTTCAGGATATGGGGAGAAGGTGTGGGCATGCCTCTGTGGCTGCAGGGACTTGAGCCAGAGCATTTGAAGGACATGAGAACACAAGAGTATGCATATGCCATGCTGTGGGTGAGGCCCGATTCCTCGGACTTGGACAAGGACATCATGGGACGCAAAGACCCAAATGCCCTTGAGTCCTTTAGTAAACAGTCAGCCGTGAATTTATCCAAGCCTTTCGGATGTTGCAGTACTATTTTTTCCAGTAGAAAAAGGGGTACTCTTTCTCTAGAAGGAGCCCGGGGAGTACCTTCTCACCAACTGGAACGTTTTCCTCACACTTTTGCTTCCTCCTCCAGAGAAATTCTTTTCTGAAAAACACACCTCTCCCCGGCGTCAAGCGGTGCGGTCTTCTGGTACATCGGAATCGCCCCCTAGATGGCAGGCGTGTGTACCAGCCGCAGCCCCCGGTGCCAGCAAAGCTGCTGAAGGAGATCTAGAGTAGCCCCTTGAGATCGTTCTCTACATTAGCCAACTGAGGATCAGAGAGGTAAAGTGACTTGTCAAAGGTCTCACAGCCACTGAGTGGTAGGTAGAACTAGAAATTTCCATAGGTTTCTAGTCGGAAGACTGGTCTTATGTTTGTCTTTTCCCCAGGCCAAATGGCTTCCCATCTGGGACATACTTTTCTGGACTTCCCTCATTTTTTTCTGCTCTCCCTCCCCGCCCTAATTTCCTTTCATTCTGTCCTTACTGGCACAGTTCGCAGCTAGACCAAAGTGGTTTGTCCGCTGGTGGAGGCCCCAAGCTAGCTTGTGCTAACTTCTGCAGAGCCAGGGGCCAGGAAGCAAAGCAGTGGACCTTCCTGTCAGGCGCCAGCGTGACATGCGAGAGCCGGAGTCCTTTCAGGGCCCGATTGAGGGTGAAGCAAGGAACCTGTGGAGAGGGGAATTTCTAGGCTAAGGGCTACAGGCCTAGGTTTCCAGTCAGGGCCATCTCTGGGTAATACTGTGAGGAAATTAGATCTAAGTGAGTTGGTATAGAAGAACCATTCATTTTTTTTTAAAGTAATCTCCACCCAACATGCCAACATGGGGCTTGAACTTACAACCCTGAGATCAAGAGTCACATGCTCTACCGACTGAGCCGGCCAGGCATTCATTTTTTTTTTCAGGAAGGCGTGACCGAGCACCTTCTCCAAGCCAGACGCTGAGCGGGTGCCCCGGATATCACTATGAATGAGCAGGGCAAAGTCCTTCCCTACCTTTGTAGACTTGATAGCCTCGTGAGATCCCAAAAAGGTTTTCATTTGTTGCCTTTAAAAACACACACACACACATGATTTTTAGTCATGTGTCCATCCTCTGCCAAGTTTTGGTTAGGGTTGGAGTACCTCTCAGACCTTTGAAACTTGTGTTTCTGGTGCCAAAGTAGTTCTGAACCTTGGGCTTAACCAGTGGAGTGTTGGTAAATGTTTAACAATTAGCTGTCTGGGGGGAAGTGTATGCATGTATATATGCACATAAGTTAATTCTAAATTTTACCGATATAGAGTATGTGTGCCACACAAATTACATATAATAAAATGCACAAAATATCATTAATAAGGTAATTAATTTTGTAAATGTATTCAACTAGTTTATTATCAGCACTTTATTAGTATTAATAACATTGTTGGTATTAATAATTTTAATATTAATTGTTAATCAGTAGCTAACTGATTCTCACAGAAGGCTTTTGTGGATTTTTGCCAGACTCTCGTATCTGTAACCAACTTGTGGTTGCCATTGCTAAACAAATGTAGTTCTGACATGAATGTGAGTTGATCGTTTCATTTATGTGTGAAACAACAAAGACATATGTCGGAACTTCATTCATTCCTCAGTGATGTGAGTGACTTCTTTCTTGAATAGGATAATGGTTTTCAGACACTGGAAGATTATTTCTTCATTATCTGGTATTATTTCACAATGTGACAGCTACCTACATGGCTCACAGTTGAGTTTAATCTGCATTATTAACATTTCCCCCCTTACTTTCTTAGGTCTAGAAAATCAACAACAGAAAAAACAAAGCAAAGCCTGATTAAGAGTGGTTACTGATCTCTGAGTCGCAAGCACCCAGCCCGTGGCCCATGGCAAGTCACCAACTTCGCTGTGATGCTGTTGCCCTAGATTATCTGCCACAGACGTGGCAGATAATCACCTAACTGCACAGATCACTGTGAAATAGAGTAAAATGATGAAGTGATGAGTTCGGGGGTATTTCTTACCTAATTTTTAAAAAAGATTTTTAAAAGATTTTATTTATTTGACAGAGACACAGCGAGAGAGGGAACACAAGCAGGGGGAGTGGGAGAGGGAGAAGCAGGCCTCCCGCAGAGCAGGGAGCCCGATGCTGGGCTCGATCCCAGGACCCTGGGATCACGACCTGAGCCGAAGGCAGACGCTAAACGACTGAGCCACCCAGGCGCCCCTCTTACCTAATTTTTAATAGAATTTATTTCAGTATAACTTTCACAGCCAGCTCACATTTGTGACAACATAGCATTAGAAGGAGTCCGCTCCAGCACTCCCCTGGGCCTGACTATATTTCCAGGACCTGAATGACCTTCATCTCCACTCCCACGCCCCTTTGTCATTGATTCTGGACCTCCCAGCCCACCGCCGTGGAATGGGGAGCTCCTAGATTCCAGAGCTAACCCTAGTGGCCACCTTGAATGAGGGCCCTGGGGACAGGGTGACACCAGTGGCTTCTCCATGGCTGGGTGGCCTCTTTCTGCCTGAGGAGCAAAAGCAGAGGTGGAAGAGAGCCAGGGGCACTCGCAGTGACTCTGGAAGGCAGGCACATCCGGCAAGCACTCAAGGCTAAGAGGGAAGGAAGGAGGAAGGGGTGAGGGCAGGAGAGAGCTCGGGCTCAGCCCTCTGCCCACTTGGCTCTACTCCTGGGCTATAATTTCTTGTTGAAGGCTTTCCAGAAAGGCTGGTGACTTTGGAGACTGTAGGTTAGTGGAGGGGGGAGGCCGGGGCAAACCCTTCCCTCCTGCCTCTGGGATGTTAGCCAGAGCCCTGGAAGCTACTCACGAGGGCTGTCTGATGTTTGCTCTTGGAGTCTACCTTTGGGGCCCGTTTCCTTTTCAGCACGAGAGGGGTGGCAGTGACTTTGGGTCTTCGGTTGGGCCTCTTGGTGGCTGGCTGAGTCTGTTTTGGAATCTGACTCTGTCTGGTGGGAAGTCTGCCCAGCATTCTGGGCCATCCTCTGCGTGCAGGCCACAGACGAACCCTGTTTCCTTTCAGGCCACATGCCCTGGTCTCTGCTCTCCAGGTCACCCCCAGGCAACTTAGCAGGTCCAACTGCTTGGATACGGTTGGGCCATGCTGCGCTCTGGATGCCACCGCATGAATGAGCGTTCTGTGTTTGCACCTAGGCTGGCAGCTCTCCGAGGGCCCTGTCCCCAGCACCACCCCAGCCCGCACTCAGTACAAAGAGCAGTCCTCAGTGACTGAATGCAGCAATGAGAAAGCCTGGCGGACAGTCAAGGTTTCTTCCTGGTGAAACCGCATCACAGTGTGGAGCCCCGTGTGGAAGCGCTCATTTTGGAACCTTGTCTGAGGAGTGTCGGCTATTATTGCTAACACTTGGCAGGGAGGGGGGGGCGCGGGCAGGGCAAACTCCCCACTCCCCACCCCCACGCAGACACGGGTTTTTACCAGTTAGCTGTTCGGTAACCAGGAAGTCCGGATGCCAGTGGTTTTCCTTCCACTCTAAGAGAACAGTCACCTTTACCCCTCAGCCCTCCGTCTGCGCCGCCCCACCGCGCGCCTCCCCTCCCGGGGCTGCTGGCCCAAGTGCTGAGTGGGAGCGATTGCTCTTGGCATCAAGCCTGAGAACAGGCTGTGCGGCCAAGAGGCCGGGGCGGCCCTCCCTCTACGACACGGGTTGGGAAGTGACCAGGGTGAGGACGCAGACAATAAGGGCTCAGTACCCTCTGAAGCGGGAGGGATCCCTGGGGACAGATGTACCAGCGGTCCGCTCCCTGCCAAGCCCCCCGCGCCCCACCCAACCCACACCCCAGCATCTACATGCATCCTCTGGCCACCGGCTTCGGACAACACCATTCACGGGTTTGAGCGAGAGGGCAGGCCTTACGAGGAAGTCCACAGAGAGGCCACAGAGTGAGAAGTCTCTGAGCCCACTGTCAATGGCGTCCTTCTAATAAGGCCGGGTGCCTGTCTCCGGGGAGCACAGCGCCCCTTCTCCCAACACGTCCTGGGCTGAATGACCCTTGGAGTGTACCAGGTTGAAGTTCTGGTGTCTGTGTCCGTGTGTGTGTGTTAAAATATTAAAACTGTGTTTCCAGACCAGACTTTGCTCCCGTGTTCAAGAGCCCCAATCCAAGTGTCACTTGGGTGTCCCACGGGCAAGGGCAATTTCACATACCCTGTGCTTCTCATCCTCTCCTTCCCCCTCAAACCCACAGTTGGTGCTGCCCCCCAGGCCCTTTCTCAAGAAATCGCACTGCCACTCACCTACGTGGCCAACCGGGAAACCTGGGCCCTCCCTCACCCCACATCCCCCCATTTCCCTCGGCCACCAAGTCGAGCCTGTCCGCTCCTGCACACTTGTACCTCATTCAGCTGGCCCTGCACACCCTGCCAAGACTTTAGGTCAGGTCACCAACTTCTCGAAGCGCGGTGACAGCCTCTTGATGTGTTTCCTTGCCTCCAGTCCTCCTGTCATCCCTGCTCCAGCCCCCACACCATCCCCAGCCCTGTCCCTAAACCAGCCCCGAATGATGTGCCCAAGGCAGCGGGGAGAAGGCCCACTGGCCCAAACGCATCTTTCTCTCCAACTTGTAGGTGCCCAAAGTGCCCCTTATTTTGGTAAGTTCTGGGGACACATACGGACATATTAGTAGCCTACCCTGGAGCAGAACCCAGCCTCTCTGACTTTTCCTACCGGCATCGAATTTTCCTGGGCAGAAAGGAAGGAATGTGAGATGAAAGGTAAGTTTTGACATCAATGAGGAAGGCAGGGGAAGGCCCAGAGTAGGGTAATGTGCAGGTCCGTGGGGCTAAAGGGAATTCCCAGGTTTCGAGAAAAGTGGCTTCCTGGAAAGGGCTGGGCTGGGTCCCTAAGAGACCATCTAGCAGATGTGCCAGTGTGCCAGGAGGAAGGCATTGCCCTGGGGAAGGAACCGGCCAGCTCCCCAGCTCTGGCAATGACTGGGTGGAAACTTCCCTCCCCGGGTCTCTCAGGGGTGGAGCCATCTAAGACTTCCCAGAGGGAGAGGGCTCTGATCTCCCAGGAGGTGGGCTGGGCTTCCTTCCAGAAGGGAGGCCGAAACCCGGGGGCGGGGCTGTAGAAGTAGCCCCCACTCTCCCCTCTGAGACCTCTAACTCGAAGAGGTGACGGAGCCCCACCTTTCCCCCCTCGCCAAACAGAACACGGGCTCAGATTACCCGATGCCTCTCTCTGCTCAGCCTGCAATGGGCCCGTCTTTCCTCTGCAGTGGTTCTTCCTCTGAGACCAACCCCTTTCCCTGAACTTTTACCTGTCTCGGCCCCGCAGCTCTGTAACGCACGGGAGGGGATGACGAGGCTCCCAAATCTGTAATCTACGCAAAGCTACAAATTACAAAACAAAACATGAGTCAACATTGTGGTGCAAGGTCTTTTTTTTTTTTTTTCTTTCCTACAGATACGGGTTGTATAGACCTCATTGTCCTCAGGATTAGAGTCCAGATTCCAATCATAATTTGCAAGTCTCTTCAAGACCCGGCCGCTGCTAAACGAGACGTCGGTCAGAGGGTACAAACTTGCATTTATGAGTAAGTTCTAGAGATCTAAGGTACAGCGTGGTGATTATAGTTAATCAGACTGTATTATATGCTTGAAAGTTGCTAGGAAGTTAGATCTTAAATGTGCTCAGCACAAAAAAGAAATGGTTTGTGACGTGATGGAAGTGTTAGCTAACACTCCAATGGTCATCATTTTGCACTATGTAAATGCAGCGAGCCATCATGTTGTACACCTTAAACTCACGCAGTGTTATCTGTGAAATATAGCTCAGTGAAGCCGCGAAAACAAAGATCTGGCTTCAGTTTTTACCTCTCAGCCCTCCCCCCAACCCCCATTCCTTTGTACCTGACACGTGGTCATCATTTTTTAACTTGTTATTTGGAAAGAATTTCTAATTTAGAAAAAAAAAAGAATTTCTAATTTAGAAAGCATTGGAAAAATAAAAATAGCACAAGGATCACTTGTATAGCCTTTACCCAGATAAGCCTATAGTTAACATTTTATCCCCTTGCCTTATCGTTTGGGTTCTCTCTCCACACTCAGGCACGCACACGTTATGTATATACATTGTATATACCCACATTACGTGTATACATCCTGTGTGCCATTTGATCCGCGCACCTGCACACTTTTTTTCTGAGCCCTGGGAGGGTATGTTGTATATATCATGATCCTTTACTCCTACACTCCGGTGAATTTCCTAAACAGAGAGACATTCTCTTCTTCTGCTTCTCCCTCTCCCTCCCCCTCTGCCCCTCCCCTCCGAGCACTGTCTCTCCTTCTCTCTCTCTCTCTCTCTCTTTTTAAATTTTATTTATTTTATTTGAGAGAGAGGGAGAGGGGCAGAGGGAGAAAGAGAAGCACTCGATCTCATGACCCTACGATCATGACCTGAGCCGAAACCAAGAGTCAGACGCTCAACCGGCTGAGCCAGCCCGGCGCCCCTGGTGTCACAATACTTTAATCTACAGTCCATATCGCAGTTTTGTCAGGTGACACACGGATGCCCTTTAGAACATTTCTTCCCTTCCAGTACAGGAGCTGATCTAGCAGCAGGTGTTGCATGGAGTTGTTCTTTCTATTGAGCCTGTGTTAATCTGGAACACCCCACAGCATCTTTGGGTCTCTTACGACCTTGCTGTTTTTGGACAGATCACTTCCCCCTCCTGCCAATATAAATATTCGCGTTTTTCTTTCCTGCCAACATTTCTCAGCAGGATGCTCCTCATGCTGTGCTTGCCTGGTGTTTCCTCATGCTTAGATTGGGGATCTGCCTCTCTGCTGTGTAGGTACTATGGTGTCCGATTTGGGGGCGCTCATCCTATATCTGTCTCTCGTTGGTGATGCTAATTTTGATCACCAGTTCAAGGTGGCGCCCGAGGTCTCTACCCTATAGCTACTTTTTTTTCTCCCTTGCATATAATAAACAGTCTGTGGGGAGACACTTTAAAACCATCAAAATATCCTGCTTTTCATTAAAATCTCCACTGGGGGGCGCCTGGGGGGCTCAGTCGGTTAAGTGTGGGACTCGTGATTTCGGCCCAGGTTCTGATCTCAGGGTCCTGAGATGGAGCCCGTCTGGGGCTCTGTGCTGGGCATAGAACCTGCTTAAGGTTCTCTCTCTCCCTCTCTCTCTGCCCTTCCCCCCCCAAAATAAATGAATAAATAAATAAAAATAAAATCTCCACCGGGTTTAGCATCCACTGATAATTTTTGTCCAATCCAGTCCTTACAATGATCGCTGCAAAATGACAAGTTTCCAGGGCACTTGGGTGGCTCAGTTAGTTGAATGTCCGACTCTTGGTTTTGGCTCAGACCGTGATCTCAGTGTCCTGGGATTGAGTCCCGCGTTGGGCTCTGCGCTCAGCATTGAGTCCGCTTGAGATTCTCTCTCGCCCTCTGCCCCTGCCCCTCCCCCTGCTCTCGTGTGCACGTGCGCGCACTCTCTCAAAATAAATAAAATCTTTTTAAAAAAATGACAAGTCTCCGACTCCCACACTCCCTCCATCCACAATCATCGATTGGCCCTTGCGTTCTAGCCATTGTGAGCCACTGTCCGTTTGCCACACCTGCCAAGAACTCTTGGCTAACTCTTATTCGTCCCCCAGCCTGGGCTGCCACAAACGGTGCACAACTCCAGGGGACGCCATTCACATTGTGGCCATGCCAGGTGGCAGCTGCGGGGGGGGGGGTGTCTTGGTTTACATGAAACTTCCTCCTGGAAGCTTTCCCAGATTCCCCAAGCTCTGTCTGCAGACCCCTATCAACACCCTCGCCACACTATGTTGTAATTGTCTTCTTACTTCTTTGCCTCCCTCATTGGGCTATAAGCTCCTTAAGGGTACGACTTTTTCTCTCTTGTTCTCTGCTGTGCCCCACCCAGCATATGTATTCAGCAAATGTCAGACCAGTGAATGAGTTTGGTCTCATGTTACAGTTAGTTATATACGTATATATGATATACATGTGTATAGCTGGCTTCTCCGGCAGAGGACAAAGTCCTGAAGGACAAAAACCACACTTGATTCATCTCTGCACCCTCTTTCTGCCCGCTCCGCACTCGGCACGGGGCCTGGTTCATAGCAGGCCCTCGACAAAGGTTTGCTGAATAAGTCCACATGTGTACCGGTTGATCAGGGTACACTCCCCACCCCACCTTTCTGCAGGACTGCGCTAAACTCTGTTTGGGTGACACCTGGGAACCAGGTGGTGTGCCCTTCGAACGCCTGCTGTTCTGGCACAGTTGGGCCAAGCCCTGCCTGAGCACAGGAAATGTAAGTGTATGTGGTCAGGGTCATTAGGGCTCCCATTACCGAAGGAGGCCAAAACCTGAGTGAGTCTCCGAAGGTGACTGAGGGCTGTCCGGGACCCATCCTTGGGGTTCTGAAGTCTTCCTAGATGACAGTCCCTGGCTTGCCCCATGGAACTTTCCAGGAGCCGCTGGCCCAGCGGACTCGGGAAGTCTTTCTGGGGCTAGGTCACTTGGAAGGCACACTGCTTGGGTCAGGATAAAACAGAAACAGGAGAGGCTTGGAGAGAAGGCCTAGGAGGAGCCGGGCTAATAACCCAGCCCTTTGAAGAGCACAGGGCACCTCCGCTGTCTGGAGCCCAGCCTGCCAATCTGGCAGAATGAACTCCGATGCCCACCAAGACCTGCACCTGGATTCCGGCTGGTGTCTCGCTCTGCAGCCCCGCAGGGCAGAGGCTCGTTGCCATGACAACACAACCCCCTTGGCGGAGGCTGAGCTGAGTACAGCTCAGCAGCCAGGGCAACTCCTCCCAGAAGGCACTGGCTCGGGAAGCTCCCGGGAGGGCTCTTCTCAGCCCCCCAGAGATGGAGTGGAGCCCCAGGGGCAGCCTCAGGCCAAAGGTCAGTGTCATCGGACTTTAGCTAGGACAGTCCTGATTTGTACAGAGTTTTTGTCTAGATGGAGGCTATGCTCCAGCCTTCCCGCTGTGTCAGAGATGCGCCATACACCCCACAGCATTCAGCTTTTTCCCAAGAGGAAAAATACTCACCAACGGGCCCCAGATCCATCAGTGGCAGCCTTGAAACTTACAGCCAGGGACTAAGGGTTACGGATCTAACACAGGAACCACTAACATGAACATTTTCATTTTTATTTCTAAAGCACTTACATAGCATTGACCATGTGCCAGGCATTGTTTTAAATGCTTTGCAATCTGTTAACTCATTAATTCTCATAACAACCCTTTAAAGTAGGTCCAGTCATCATCCCCAGTTGATCGTTGAAGAAACAGAGGCACAGAGAGGTTTAACAACTTGCTTGAGGTCACACAGCTGATAAACGGCAGAGTGACTCTGGCCCAGGCAGTGTGACTCCAGGCCCCGTTCTCTTTACTCCTCTGTCCTGCTGCCTCCCTGGGCTTATCATCCTTGTGAGAACAGAGCAGGACACGGAGAAACCTTCCCACTTCCCCTTTTCCTTTTCTCCGTAGGTCCTTTTCTATGGCTCAAGTTCAGGAGTCCAGCCTGTCCCCCTAGTCACATCAGAGACAAAGAGAGGGAGAAAGAGAATGAAGACATTGTCTGGATGCTCGGATACTTCTGGAAAAGTCAGCTCTGGCACGGGCTGAGGCGTAACTCCAGGGTTCGGAAAGCCCTGCGGTTAATTTAGCCCAAATTCTGAGCTGAGTGTGCCTAGCGACTCCCCAAAGATGACCATGGCATCAGAATCTTTCTAACCCTAGCCTTGGGCAAACACCACCACCAAAGAGTGGCCAGAGCCGAGCTTTGGCTGGACATGGAACAGAACTGGGAAGAAAACGAGTACATCGGGGTAGATAACAAGTTGTTCACAGTGAGCAAGGCCCCAGTGGCCTCCTTATAAATCTCAGTCCTGAGAAAGTGTGGTTAGAGCTGAAAGCCCCGACATGTCACGCGCTGCTATTCCCGTGGAAATACCAACCAGACAGCGCACGCACCCGGAGACGGGACGAGGCCAACACACTCTGGATACAAAACCTTCAACCAACCGCCAAACTTTCTTTAAAGGGAGATGTGTTTGGCACTCTGCTGGGCACAGGGACTACAAATAGGAGTAAAAATGCTACCATCTGTGCTGATATCATCTATGCTCGCACATGCATCGATCGTCTGGGGAGGGCAACAGCAGTGGGAGAGAGTCTAAGGGGTCACCGCAAACCCCTCCTGCCTTGTGAATTCGCTCTCAGAAGCACACGTTACCTATGCAGACAATAATTGAGGGGCACCCGGCCGGCTCAGTTGGAAGAGCGTGTGACTCTTGACCTCGGGGTTGCGGGTTCAAGCCCCATGTTGGGTGTAGAGATTACTTAAATAAATAAAACTTAAAAAAAATTTAGGGGTGCCTGGGTGGCTCAGTCGTTAAGCGTCTCCCTTCGGCTCAGGTCATGATCCCGGGGTCCTGGGATCGAGCCCCGCATCGGGCTCCCTGCTCAGCGCGAAGCCTGCTTCTCCCTCTCCCTCTCCCCCTGCTTGTGTTCCCTCTCTCGCTGTCTCTCTCTCCGTCAAATAAAGAAATAAAATCTTAAAAAAAAAAAAAAGATTTAAAGTGACAGGGTTGTTGACAACAACGAAGGATCCAGGATATACCGACGGAATTGACCAATCGGTCTTCCTGGCTTGGGACACACTTCGGGCTCTCACCGTGGCGGTTACATCCAAGAAGTCTTCTTACCACATCCTGGCTACAGAAAGGCGGGTGTTTTCTAGTCATTTTTCCAAGCACATCACATGAGGAGACTGATAACCCGGCAAGAATGCGGAGGCAGGTGAGCCGTGCCCAAGGCGGAAGGGAGTTTGTCCTTCCACGGGCTTTGACCACGTCATCCACCCTTCACGGACAAAGGTGACTCCATGGGTGACAGCCCGTCGCCTTGCAGACACGCCCCTGTCCCCAGGCTGGCCCTGGCCCCGGCCCAGAGAAGTGTTTCCCGATCAGCTCTGGTCTGCTGGGCAGGGGCCAGTCCCTCTGGCTGGATCGAGCCAAAACCTGCTAAGGAGCTAGCCCCAGGCTGAGAATGAGGGTCGGCAAAGTAGGTTCCGGTGGTTTGGGCGAGGGCAAATGGACAAGTCAGTTTTCCGGTGTGGCGTGGTTTTTCTGGATGGTGGGCTCTGACTTTGCCCTCTGCGCCCTCCGCCCCCAGACTACCTTCAGGCTTCCTCTCTGCGAAGCGCATCCCATCTGCTGGGAAATAGTAGCCATGTGACAATAAGCATGACCATGACCCTCTCGGGAATGCTCCGGTGGGTCAGGCACGGAGCTCAGCGCTATACGTGCATTCTCTCCCAAGCAGTCCTCATGGACGTGCCACGAGGAAGGGCTTCTGGCTGTCTTCATTTTACAGCTGAAGAAACTCGGCCTCGCAGAAAGAGCTAGTAAGTGGTGGGGACCCATTGGAAATCGGTCCATGTGGTTACGAGCCCAAAACTGCTGCACTTAGCTAGGCTTTTAACCACTCTGCTTGACTGCCTCTCATAAAGTTAATTTTAATCTTTGCCTAATCCGACCTTATTTAGGGAAGGAAATGTGCTGCCAAAAAATCACTTATGATATCCTAAAGCTAAATATAAAAGGCTCTTCTATTATCTCTTGTTTGGGGCTCTTCGGGCTGAGGCCTCGCCCCAAGGGCCTGTGGGACCAAGGGTTCTCTGGGTGCATACCATTTGGGCAGACAGGAAATAAGCCCAGCTCTGCTGGCCCTGAGTCAAGGCCCTAAAAAGATCTGCTAACAAGGAAAGTTAAACTTATAAAAATCAGTATGGAAATGAAAGACCAGGCCTTGGGATTCGAAATGTCAGGAACCTCCTTCCAACTTACTGCCCTGGGGTGGGGGTTGGGGAGGGCACTGCCTGGGGACGAGCATTTTGCAGCTGCTAGCTGAGGGGTTTGTGGGTAGAAGCTGACTTCTAGGTCCCATTGGGTCACCACGGTGGAATTCTAGATATGTGTCTGACTGCTTTATTCTGTATTCTCAGTTTATTCCCCCTGGGTCTGCACCTGCAGAGAAAACACTGGGACTCTTCTCTTCCTCGGCTTGCTGTACTGGTTAGTTCTACGTGTCAGCTAGGTTAAGGGAGGCGCCACTAGCTGGTAAAAGATGATTTTTGGGTGTGTCTGTGAAGGTGTCTCTGGAAGAGATTAGCGATTGAATTGGGAGACTGAGCAAAGAGTGCCCTCACCAATGCAGGTGGGCATTAGCCAATCTGTTGAGGGCCCAAATAGAACAAAAAGATGGAGGAAAGGCAAATTTGCTCTTTTTTTATTTTTTATTTTTTATTTATTTATTTTGCTTGAGCAGGGACATCCATCTTCTACTACCCTCAGACATTGATGCTTCCGGTTCTTGGGCTTTTGAACTTGGACCAGGACTCATGCCATCGGCAACATGGTTCTCAGGCCTTTGAACTGGGATGGGGTTACACCAACAGCTTTCCTGAGTCTCCAGCTTGCAGATGGCAGTTCTTGGGACTTCTTGGCCTTCATAATCACCTGAGCCAATTCCTATAATAAATATCTCTCTGGGCGGCTCAGTTGGTGAAGTGTCTGCCTTCGGCTCAGGTCATGATCTTGGGGTCCTGGGATCGAGCCCCGCATCCCTTCCCCTGCTCTCTCTCTCTCGCTCTCTCTCTCTCTCGTGCACACACGTACACACACACACTTTCTCTCTCTAATAAATAAAAATCTTTAAAAAAAAATCTATCTGTCTATCTACCTTTCTATCATTGATCTACATCTACCTCCTATTGATTCTGTTTCTCTAGAGAACTCTAATGCACTTGCTCTCTTGGATTTGCCTTCCTCTTCTAAAATGCTGAGGCTGGAAACCAAGACACTTCTCTGCCAATCACCTGAGACACTCTTTTCTTCACATCGCTTCCCCAGCTTAATGCTGAGATGGGGAGCCAAGCAGCCTCCGTCGCCTGCAGCCACTCAGCCCCAGTGAGGCAGCCTCACCCTGGCCAATGCAGACCAAGCAGCCAGCCACGCGAAGCTCCCTGCCAACCTTGAAGGCACCCCCCCTTTCCCTCTACCCAGACGCCCTCCCCATTCTGTGCTCACAACTCCTGCCTCTTCACCTTCAACAACTCAGGATAAAACCCACCTCCTACTACCTTGCCACCGTGTCTTCCAGGTTTTTTCTGTATTCAATATGTACCAGATTGCTTTATTGGTACTATAAACAGTAACAAGGATGCCAGCCACCATTTATTGAGTATTGTTTGCCCAGGCACTATCTCATTGACACATTGTCTCATTGAAACCCCACAACCACCCTATGATGTGGGTGCTGTTATTACTCTCCCCATTTTCCAGACGAGAAAACTGAGGTTAAGTAGCATGTCCTAGGACATACAGCTAAGAAGTGGTAGAGCTGGGATCTGACTCCAGGTCTCTCTGATCCCAGAGCCACTCTCTGAATCAGTGTGGGTTTGCCTCCTTGCTTCCATTAGAATCTTCGGCTTTCTTCTGGATTTCCAGCTCCCGACACCCAGTCCGGGGCTCTGTGTGGAGTGGCCACGAGCCAGATTGATCTGTTTGCAGGGGTTCTGTTCACCCCATCAGGCCCTTCGCTCCTCCCTGGCCCTGCAAGGGAGACGCAAACAGCAGGGCGGCCAAGAGCTAGACCAGAAGCAGGGAGCCGTGCCAAGTCTGAGCAAGACCCGATGTCCCCTGGCGTCAGTCAGGGCCCTGCGGCTTCCCAGCACGCTCACCTCGTGGCCCCATCATGACTCGCACACCTCTGCTAATGAGGCCGGGGAGGGGACTGCCACCAAGGATCCTGGAGCATCTACGAGGGAAGCCAGCCTTTTAATAACCCCGCGTTTCTACGGTGATTGGACTCCGCCAGATAGCATCTGCCCCCTTGTGGACTGTGCTTTTTTGACATTTTGGGAGAAGAGAAGAAAATACACCTTGAGTCTCTAAAAGTCCTGCGAAAATATCATTGCCCGCAAACCTGGCAGGGTCTGGGAATCGGCCACGGTGGCTTTCCTTGACCAGGCACGGCAGGACCCCCTGTGAGTCTTCTGGGTTCTTCTGCTTGGCGCCTGGGGGCTCCAGCCAGCCCTGGCTCCATGCTCTTGGGCCTCTTTCTGAGCTCATCCCTACCTCTGCTTTTAGTTTGCATGCACGCATGCACCCTGTGGTCTCCTTCCGGAAATAACAAGGCCCCTTGATTGTCCTTTCGCCCTCACCCCTTGCTCTCCGCCTGCCCCGCTGCCGGCGCCGGACACCTGCATCTGCTCCAGCTCAGCGGGTGTGATCCTGAGGGCTCCCAAAAGTCCCTGCAGGTGGCAGCAGGCGCTATGTCACTGAATCTTCAGGACAACCCTGTGAAGTGGGAATTGTGATCAGAAGGGAAAATGAACCTCCGAGGTGCTAGGCAACTTGTTGGAGGTCACCCACGCAATCACCAGCAGAGCCAGCCCCCGAACTGAGGACTCTCTGACTCCACAGTCTATGCCTTCCCGCGAACTGCCACATCCATCCGCTCACTTCAGCGGATATTTACAGAGCTCTTTCCGTGTGCTGGTTCCTGTTCTCGGTGCTGAGGATACAGGGAGGAACAGGCCAGGCATGGCTCTGTCCCCACTTCTTGGAGCTTCCAATCTGGCCGGGGAGAAAATATTCTTGAAAGCCACTGTGTCCTTCTGGTTTCTGTCTGCTTGTCCCGACTCTCTCAACATATGGGAGATTTTGGTTTCAACTCGGCCAAATTCATTCACTCGTTTATTGGTTCCCTCCACAAACACTTTCTGAGGGCATACTATGTGCCAAGGACCGTGCTAGTCACTGGAACATGACAGTGAGCCCAAGCAGAGGTCCCCGGCCTCTGGCACTTGCTGTGCCCAACCTTTCATACCTTCCTCCCTCTGCACCTTTACGCATGCCATTCCCTCTGTCTAGATGCCCTTCCTTATGCCTCTTTACTGAAATCCACTCCAATCCTCAAGGCCCGTCTTGAGCCTGGCCTCCACCCACTCACAGTGACGGGTGATTACTCCCGGCTCTGAGGTCACTCAGCATTTGCCATCTGGACAACTCGGGTGTCCACACAAGTCACTTGACACATGCCAGACAGTCTCGCATCCTTAACTTTCACATTGGTATATGGATTCTGTCACTTAACTTGCCCACTATTCACATCATCACCCAGAACACACTTTCTTTCTCATCAAGAAGCAGTTAGCAAGTGGCTACTGTGTATTTTAGTGATGGAAAAACTGAAGAATCTTTGTGGAGCCTC